ACCCCACACGCACACCCAACCCACACTCACATCCACACCCTACCCTATTCTAATCACTCATACTTCTTTTAGCAATTGATAGGTTTAACATTAGCACTTATCGAAACGTGTCTTGCTAGCTATATAATTCTTCACATGGTTGATACTGTCACATTCACACCCTCAACATCATTCTCTTGCTACACAAATGCAATTATATTCAGCTTCATTAATACATTTGACACATATCTGTTAATCATTTAGATATTCCTTTCGATCTGTTTTGAATCTATTTCAAGTATTACATATTTCTAATTATTATAGTCCAGCTTAGTTAGATGTTAATCGATGGCAATGATTGATCTTATCTTAGATGCCACATTTACGAGTGTTTTATATTATGGTTTCTTATACTTTAAATTGGGCTGGAAATATTGTTGATTTTATGACGATGATCAATAAATTCAATTCATTATTTTGGTCCAAATGATAATAGTTTTTTGAACATTCCATAGATGAAAAACGGGATCAAAACTTTCTCAGCTTCTATTCAACAAATCCATACAGGCAAACAGCATTTCATTTTTTTCTATTAGCCTTTTTCTATTAAGTAGAAAACAATATATAATATACGAAGAAAAATATAAAAATAGGGTATGAGTGAGCGTATGGATGTGGGTATAGGTGTGAGTGTGAATCTTCTATTCATTAAAGTCACACACATGCACATACTTTTCAATAGCGTAACTAATATTGAGAGCGAAAAAATGAATAAGAAAAGAACGGAAGTAAAGCAAAACAGCCTACTGAAGGAGTAATATTGTGATGACGTTTTTTCTTTCTCACCAATCAATTTCAAGGGTAATTCATAGGTGGAGGCCAATATTAATGTTTACATTGTGTACAGTAGTTCAGTTATTCGTTTACTCATAATATTCGAGAGAAAATATTACAGTACATTGAAACGAACTGTTTTCCTGAGTCAATGATTAGAGCAAATGGGAAACAAATGTATGTATGTGAAGAACTTTATTTACGACTAGATGTTTTTAATAATTTCTTTTTTTATGAAAGTATTATATAAATATTTTACAAAGATAAAAAGACATATCAAACTTTTTTCGTCTTTTGATTCAGAAACAGAATTAAAGAAAACCATGTGTCAGTTTCATAAGCATTTTTTTGTATTATTGTTGTATTTATGCTAAATAAGAAATAAGTAAACATCATCATTCATACAAACAAAGAGCGAAAAGGTCAATATTTTGAACTTCAAAAGTGCACATTCTGATACGTAAGAAAGTATTTTTTTATGGATACGGTTCTCGAGGTGGATCTTAATATTAATTCATATGAAAATGTTTATAAGAACCATTCGAATCCTGTATCACGTAAACTTTTAAAGACTGATCAAAATAACATCAAAAGGATGATGATCTACTAACTAATTGCTTTAGTAGTATTTAAATAGTACCGTGGCTATAAAAATATATTCGAAATCGAAATATAAAAAATATATTATCATTCATACACAACATACCTGATCTGGAAGAACAAGCTATGAAAATTTTTTTCGAGAAAGTTCAGGCGTCAATTATGAAATGAAGAAACATGAACATCGGTATTAAATCAGACATGACCAAATAAATCGCACATTGTACAGACTGCCAATACGATTATTTAGACATATATCAGTGTGTACAAAAAGCATAATCCAGGTCAAATAATCGAATAGTAAAATCTGGCAGATCTTTATAAGATCATATACGCTCTTACTCTATGATCGTATATATTTATAAAATATTAGACGAAAATCATATGAAAACTCATGATGTCTGACAACCTTACATCAACACATAATATACGATCTGCACAAGATCTGATGGTCTCATCTCATATGATCTTAGAAAATCTTGCACTCATATTTCATTATACATATTTTTTTATCCTTTCACAGTAATTCTGATAACTTTGAACTCTGTTCTCTATAAGTAATTTAGGCTTGCAAGTCAGTCTACTTTTACATCATTCACTACCTTGTATAACCATCATTTTACGCATCTACTCAATATCAATACATCTATTCTTCCAAAACTCAATGAAACCTACTTTTATGCCTTCAAATATGTAACTACAGTAGTAGCCAAAATCAAAAGACTGCTTTGGTAGTTTGATTTTCTGTATTTATTTCTTGTTCACCACAGAACATATTCTGCAGGAATTCTCTCACAAACAGAGATCTTAGTTTACTCTTGCAGACTGAGTTAGGAAGACATTCAAATATCACATAGTTATTATAAAAGATAGCTTTCAAAAAAAATTAGTCAGATTTGCCTGGCTAAAATTATAAGACTACCTAGAAGTTTCTCAATTTCTTTACCTAGGTTTTCGATCGTTTCTTTTTACAAACATGACAATTGATAGACTACACTGATACCTATCTAAAGAAAAAAAGTTTCTTCTGAAATTTCTGGATTTCTGTTTGGAAAATGTCGCTGTAATGTCTATTGAAGCATAACTTGGCGAGCCCACATTTCTGATCCCGAACAAGTCTTGAACTGATTGAAAAGCATGCTATCTGACAGAGCATGAAAACATACACCTAGTTAATCGTTTTTAACCCAAATCTCTAAAAAAACAACACGAACACTCAAAGAGCTTTCACAGTAAGGACGACTTGAGCATAGTGTTGACCTCGAAAGGAAAAAATTATTGCTAGAAAAGGGTGTGGGTGCGAGTATCGTTTATTTTCATACCCACATCTATACCCCACCTAGAGATGCACCAGTGGCGGTTCACCATCCACTGGTCCACAGCAGTACCTTTGGCACCACTCATCGGTTCACTGTGCCAACCGGTGAGAACGATGAACGGTGACACCGGTGGCCACCGTCACCGTTGCATCCCTGACCCCACCCTTATTGTGATTTGTTAAATAATATTTTACTCAAGACTGGGTAATTTAGCCATGATATTAATTGTTTCCATGAAATAGGCTAAACACATCTTTATAAGGTTTACATTTTAAATTGTTATTGTCTTTGTTTAATAGTATTTCTGTCATCAATTAAAAGTGTTCAATTAACATTTTCTCACATCTGGTTCGATGTAACGCCAATTGGAACCAAGCAAAATAATGAAGAAAAGTGTTTCTCTACTCTAGCGAACAACCAAGATCTGGAATCATTTGACGATGATCCTGAGTTTAAATGCGAAATGTATATTCGTAGTGTTCATCTTGATAAACTTCTGATTTTAATTGTTAGCGAGGAAACGGCTTGTGGTCTGATTCAACGAGCTCATTCTTATCCTCAAATCAAAGCTATTTTTATTGTACCTCGCACGAAGTTCAAAGATGAATTGTTAGCAAAATGGTCGGACTATGTAAAGGTAGGCTATAAGAAATACCCAGGTCTAGTGATTTATGCTTAAATTTTATAATAGGTTAGAATAGTACTGATCAATGAATTAGCTACTCGAATGAATTCTTTCAAATCTCGTTGGCTTCGCAATGAATTTGAACGATTTCATTTCGACTTGTTCAACACAACGGAATCTATTGGTCGTACATCTAGTGATTTAAATGGAGAATTTCTTACTTCTCAATATTTAATTCATGTCATTATTAGCTTAACACCATCAGTGAAAGACAAAGATGAATTTGTTGACCAATATACAAATGCATTGAAAAAATATAACCCAGGATTACTGAAAGATGTTCAAGAGTTTCGAAATGGTTATACACCTAGCTATGCTTTGACATATTATACTAAACCTACGTTTTTCTTCAAAGAGTTGAATATGGCGCTTCGTACACGTAATGTTGAGTGTCTGTTCCTGTTTCGTTTTTTTATACGTGACATATTCGATCAATTAACGCAGAAACAATGCCAGCATTCAGTTCGTGTTTATCGTGGACAACGAATGCAAAAGGAAGAAAGACACCTACTTGAACAGTCCATTGGACAGCTAATATCCATGAATTCGTTTTTCTCAACGTCGCTCAACCGAAAAGTAGCTCTTCAATATTTGGGTGATACAAATATTCAACCACAGACAATTAATAAAACAGAAATGTATGAAGAATATGTTCTTTTCGAAATTTATGCCAATCCAGAATGTCGAAGTAGGCCATTCGCCATTATTGAAGAAAATTCTGCAATATCCGAAGAGCAAGAAGTTCTATTTGGTGCTGGTGCAATTTTTCATTTAAAAAGTGTTCATCGTGAAGATCAAGGGAATGGACATCATCCTATTTGGATATTTCAAATTGAATTGGCTAATGGAGAAGAACATGAATTGAAATATCATTTTAATCGTTTACATTATAATTATGCAAACGAAGAATTAATTAAACTATCTTTCAGCTCATTTGGTTTACTTCTTTGCAATATGGAAAAGTACAAATTTGGGTTTCAATTATTTCGACGTATTCTGCGCAATGTTTCTTCTAATAATCTTGTTGAACAAGCTCGTTGTCAAAAAATCATGGGTCACATTACAAGTGGTCAACATCATTATTGGCAAAGTTTGCGTTGGTACAAAAGATCTCTTTCAACTTATGCGATTATCGATTCAAATGCTTATTCGACAGAGGTTGCATCTGTGTACGATGGCATTGGTCATGTTTATTTAGTCAGAAAACAATATGAACGAGCTCATAGATCATATCAAAAATCACTGACTATATGGAAAACATATTACGACGAAGATCAAGACCAAATAGAAATAGGATTTTGCTACATAAATGAGGCTCGCGTTTACTTCGCCGAACAACGTCTCGAAAGAGCAAGTGAACTGTTCAGAAACAGCTTATGCATACTTTACAAGTGTTATGCAAATACGCCTATTCAAGCTAGTTTAGCTGCTGCTCATTGCATACTTGGTGAAATTCTTGAAAAATTGCAAATGTTTGATCTTGCTATCGATCATTATTTGGAATCGTTGATTATTGGATTAAAAACGTTGTGTCAAGATGACAGTTCTGTTTTTTCTGTCTATAGCAAGTTACAAATAGTCTGCGAGAAAGCAGAAAGAAACTTTGATCAACTATTGGCATACAACAAAATTCCAGTCATCCAAGATCAAACCCATATTGATTATTATAATAAAAACAACGGTACACGCTTTCAAATGTTATTTAAATGTCCTCGTTGTAAACAATGGCAATGGATTTTTACTGTCTTTCGACCCATAAAACAACTTGTCTGCACTGGATGCTGGAGGAAGCGATGCCCACGACTTATGTCTTATTTTTGGGTACTAACATGATTTCAAAGACATCTATTAATTTCTAATACAATTATTGTCGAAGATTCAATAGGAAAAAATCGTTTTTAGACATGGAATCTCTAAAAATCGTCTGTGGAAATATGGTTAAAACTAAATAACGAAACTTTTTGTGTGTCATCACTCTTATTAACTATCCCAGCCTTGGTACCTCTTATCTTCTAATCTAGAAATATATGTGTAAATACGACAATAAAGGGTGGGTGGGTGGGTGTGGAGGTAGATGTGCGTGTGGATGTGCCTTAAACGAAAACTCTGACCCATACTAGCCCCACACCGACACTCTCATTTGAGCTTGTATGCAATCCTCCCAGAGTAATCAACTTATTTCTTATAATAACATTTCAAGAGGAGTTGAAGCAGAAAAAAAAGCATCGAATATTTAACTGTAGATCAAATGGCTAATACTAGAAACGAGAATAATAAGAATTCAGACCAAGAAGAGAAGCAACATTGAAGAAAACAGAGAAATCTCACTCTAAATTGTCTTGCACGTATCTGTGTATATACTTCATTTACTGCGGTCGCCAATTTACAATCAAGCGAAGCCCTCGACAGATTAGAAGACCTCCGTATATTAGAAGACCCCCCTCCATAATAGAAGACTCCCCTTGGATAAAAGAAGCAAAAGACATATGAGAAGATCCCCCTGACAAAATCGTTTCTTTTTACAAATAATTTCTGGAGTTTATTAACTTTTTTAGTATTTAAGTCCATAATTGTATCTTAGATCAGTATGAACAATATTTTGCTTCATTCATAAAAATGATGCATCAGTTCGAAGTTAAAAAAGTCTTGCGAAACGATGAATAGGAAACAACTATTTAGTAAAGAATGTATTTCTTTATAGAACACATATCATGGAATCTTTTTAGGGGTCTTTTGCAGCATATTCCG